AGGGACAATCCAAAAGCGTAAATATTATTCAATGATTCACTTATTATAAAAGAAACTATAAAAGATTGTTTCAAGGGTTATTTTATCTTTCGTTGTAGACAGTTTGACTGTTTTCATGAGTTTTTGTTTAATGTATCCAGTAGAATTGCAATTTTACAAGTACATGTTAAGTATAAAACCGTAACATGTATTGTTTAACTTTTTTGTGTGTGTAATTTTAATATGCCTACGTATTGCAGTACTAATGATACGGGAAACTGATAAATCATTGATGCCGCGATGTATTGTGACGTATAACAACCACGTGACTGTTGTCCGCCAAACAAAATGATATACCTTTGTAAGTTACATGTATGCAACTTATGTCAATCTAAACTACACATTTTTAACCACTTTCGGGTCTGTCCTTTCATTAAGAAGGTAAATCTATAGATGCGCATTTCGTTTTAAGCGTTTATTTTGTATGAAAAAAACCCGGTAAACTACCGTCGCCTTTATATATGTAGGACTTTGAACCGCGATGGTACTTTTAACCGCGATGGTCACGCTGAGGTGCGATGGTTTGACACTGAAGTTCGTTTTTGATCACGCTGAGTGCGATGATGGCATTTTGACACTATCTTAATGATAGCTACGCCAAAATACGATGGTGGTAACGCTGAAGTACGATTGTCTACACAAACTACATTTTCAATGCTTTTCATTTCGATGTAGAAGTCAATTTGTATGTTAAAAGCAGATTTTCAGGTTATAAGGGGCTTATAAACTTTAAATACTTTCCTTAACCTTCTGTAGCGATTGGTTTTTTCTTTAGAATTCTACAACTTGTTCCTTTTTAAGTACGATGGAGCGTATCATTCTCTAGATACATACTTATCCACAGACGGACTCTCCGTTATACAATATTACGGTAAACGAGGAACTCATGGAAGGAACAAAGTAAAGATAAAATGTGAACGCATAATTATGTCCACATGCAGAAAATCAAAGAGGACGACCTCTCATTTAGTATGCAACTGAAATTAAGGACCTTAATTACCGTGATGAATGTATATGTATATACTATCAAAAAAATCTACTTCTCATAATAACTGCACATCTGTAGATATTAAACTGTCAAATAGACAATCGCACATCAGCGAAAGGAATCGCACTTCGGCGTAGACCATCGCACTTCAGCGTCCCAATCTCGCACCTTCGAGTCCTACATATATATTCATGTGTGCCCTATATATGTTATTGTAATGATTGCTGATACAATATGCACTGTTCTCACCTACTAGGGACGCGGTCGTACACTTTTTGGATAACGGAATAGTGGTAAATTTGATTTTTATCGAAAATCAGTTTTCTATACTATTCCCTGTTGCGGCATTTTAATGAATATAGATTCGGATAGTGGGTGATGAATAAATAACAAAAGAGGCTAACCCTGCGTGCCTCGTCGGTAAACTACTGTTTTCTCTATTTTAGATTTTTAAAATATACTTTTTAAACATTAGACTTAGATAATCTACCAACACAATATAGAAAACTAAAGACTGTTCAACACAAACCACACCTAAAACCGGAAGGGTAAGCAGATTCTGTTCCACATGTAGCACTCGTCGTGCTATTCATGTAAGGAAAAACGTAAGAAACGGTTTACGCTCGTATTGTTAACTGGTTACAAAATTACTCAAATAAAACGATTTATGAAAAATCAAAATTGTATAAATGTTACAAAATAATTCTGAATTTTTTTCGATTTTAATATTGGCTTTATGCAATAAATCTTTATCTTCTGTATCATACTTTTTGTATGTCAATAATATAAGAAAAAAGAAACAGTAATGGTTATCAATCATGTGAATTAAAGTTTTTTTTTTTTTCTTAATATGTATGCAATTGACACTCTTCTATCCAACATACCATTTTTACCAGTTACAGTCCAAATAATCCAACCTTCATTCGGTCGACTCCTATTACAAGACATATCTATTTACTTATGTATTACAGTTTTTCTCGTTCTTCACATGCCGAAAATATTACCATTAGACATAAGCAAACAACAAACAAACACATAATCAATAGAAATTGATTTTACACACACAAAAAATATTAACCAATGACAGTAAAACACTGTTTTTGCTTTATGTTGTTAAAACTGTTGATGATTTTTTATAATTGTAAACATTACATTCCAAAATTGATACTTTGTATCTAGCATACTGAATTATTGTTGTAAAGTGTGAGACAAGTTTAAAAAAACTAATGATATTAAAAAAAGTGTATTTTAAAACGAATTTTAAGGGTTCGAAAAATGCTGCTTATAATATGATTTATTGTGAATTGGTACTTAATTCAATCTATTATGAAAAACACCAAGGAATTACTCAGTTCAATTTAAAAAATATAAAATACTACATATTACAATTATGTTATGAAAACACGTTTTGTAGTTCATTCGAATGACCTAACGACGCATTGAGTTTGGCAAAATGTTTCTGAGATCTTTCTGTAAATACGGCTTTCCTGTGGCATAGCTAAAACACAACGTACATAAGGTTAATGAATTGTTACATGAGCTAAAACAAAGAATGAAATAAACACCTATATTACTGATAACGTTTTTTGAATCATTCAACGAAATATATACGTGATAGATACATATATATGACACAGGCATAATCCTTTTTTTTACCAAGATAGACCATTAATAAATTACTTAACATATACATACTAATAACTGCATATTACAATTTAGGTCTAAAGAAATGTTAGAGAGTTCATTTAAATTCTAACGAAAAATGAATTAGGTATGTTCAGTTTGAGATATTTTATGTAAATATGGTTTTCATAATGTATGCCTGAAAGAGAAAGCGCAATTATCTATGACATATCTTATTTTTGAATGCTGATAAAATCCGTAATATTATAAGTTACCTACGTTCCTACCTGTAGATGTAGATATTGCATCACCCTGAAGTACCCCCAGTACACACTTAGGAAAAGCTGAAGACTGTTAAAATACCCATATCTACGGATATGAACGTAGAAAACGAATTTATCTCCAGTCTTTGTCCGAATCGGACGATTGTGTAGGCAAATTCGGGCACAAAGTGGAACGTGAAAGCAACGTTTTTTACTACATGTATGTTGTGTACTCAGTGGTGCAGAAATACATATTCAAGGAGACAATACTGATTAATGAGAATTTAAGGTCAGTTAGATATGTAACAACAGATCTAAGATATGAATGAATTGTTTAAACAATTCAAGGTTTGTTGATACAAAAAAATACCCTATTGAGGTAAAGCATTGACTCGCATGTGGAATATGCTTTGTAATGGCAAAGCAAAAAAGAATAAAGACTGTCAACAGGAAAATTTAATCAAGATAACAGATATGGCATATACGTGATGATATAAACTAGGTTGTATATTGAAGTTTTCATAAAAAAAAATATGGAGTTTGTGTTGTTTGATAACAAGTTTGTTAAAACATGATTTAGTACAAGGGATTTTTGATAAAGGTAAAAGACTTATTCTGATGCATATACTTTCAGGCGATTTATATAATTTGAATTTGAAAACAGATATTGGTAATTCAAGCTGCTTTCATTATGTAGTAAGTTTACAATTTCATTTTACCGTACATTTTGCCGTCCTGGAAAGCGTACTGGTTTAAGTATGTTCCTTGCATATACAATACCCCTACCAATTTGATCAAACATCATATATTATTCCTATTTACTATTCCAATTCAAATCATACACGATTAGTGCCATTCAAAATAACCCACAATGCAATTTGTACAAAGCGAAGTGATATATTGTAAATTTGGCATAATCTTAACCTTTATAAAACAAACTTGAATAAAAGTTAAAAGTTTACGTTTTGACATAATACTATTGCTGTTACATGTTAGGCAAGGCAAACACCTTTCCAGATGTGTTTTATAGATATGAAGATAAGTAAGCATCCTCAGGTGTAATGAACAGTACGTATATAGTCCCAATGGTTTGTGATAATATGTATTTAATATATCATAAGTTTTGATATTCATTGATATACTATTTTGTTCTATCGGATATTCAATTCTGATACGGTAGGTTTACCCAAGAAGACCTTTCATGAAAGTTCTGACATGAGAAAACGTATAAACATTTTACTAGGAAACTTCGAATCAGTTGCAAAATAGTCATGTATTGAAGATCTTGTTCGTGCATGCTTAGTAGGAGTAAGTCAATATCAAATTTAGTAGTAATTGGGTATAGCATTGATCAGGTCAAGACTCATACATCTTAAGACTCATGATAAAGTCACATAACTGAATTTTCTTTAAGGGTTTTGTGATATACTGATTTCAATGCGTTTTTTCCTACTTTTTTATATTTGATGTTTCCCTTTATTTGTTTAAAAGTATTCATCAAACGTGCTCAAAAACAAATGTATATGTAATGCTCAAAAACAAATGTATATGTAATGTCAAATAAAAACATAGGTGAGTTGTACAGTATAGTCAGGCGTCTGGTTGTATGCAACGGATGTTAGAAATTAAGCAGGATCTGCTCACCATCCACGACAAGCTGAGATATTCCAAGTTTTTTTATGGAGTTCGTGTTATTCAGTGTTTAGTTTTCTATGTTTTATTTTGTGTATTGTTGTTTGTCTTTTGGTCTTTTTTGTTTTTTTGCCATGGCGTTGCAAGTTTATTTTGGACTTATTAGTTTGAATGTCCCTTTAGTGTCTGGTGCATCTCTTTTGAACTTCCCTTATTTTTACCTTGGGGTTGCAAGTTTGTTTTAAATATATTTGTTGTTTTACACTAATACAAAAATGAAAATATCTTCACCGAATATTGAACAGAATTAGCATTATCAAAATTCTTAGTGTTAATTCATCCTTTTTTCATTGTTGTTTGCTGTTTTAATGTCCGCTACTTTGTACTATTAAGAAATCGCCTGGCATTTTAGTACACTTGTTATTAAGCAATAATATAACAAAGTAAAGATATTGATTTTAAGTAACAACTGTTCCCTAAGTCTGTCGCTTCATGTATGTTGGGAATTGTAAATGATGGATGTCCGAACTCATATGTCTTAATGTAGACGGCAGCGTCCAGAAATGCAGGTATAACCAGGACAGCAAGGACAACGGCTTCTAAAGCATCCCGGACTTCTTTTCACTAGCCTAAACCAGAAAAACTTGAAAATGAGTACTCAATGTACATTGTTTTGTGACAGTCATAAATATTGTTCATTGTATAGAGCGACTTATATCTGTTCAGATGAAATCAATTCCTTGATGTAGGAATATATAATGCCGCATTTGTTATAGCAACTCATCAAGTTTATGAACTCAAGTACTAAAAGCAATGTCTTATTGACTATAAATGTCCAAGAGCTTATTTTTTTCTTATAAAAAACATGTCTTGAGGTTTCCATTTATAACTAAACAATTAATAAAAAAAATGTTCAAATAACTTTTGTACATATGACATTATAAAGATTTGGCCATTTCTTTTATGTCTCTTTTCGTATCTGAGAATACCTGATGAAGTTCATTGCTGACATAGACGTTAATTTATAATTGCACAATATGTCTTATCCTTATCCTTAGCCATTGAAATTATCGGCTTATTTTTTAATATTATATGATATATATTGACTGTATGTGTATACCTTTTAGTGGTGAGTAAAAAATTGTCATGGGTTTCAAATTTTTATTTGAATCGGGTGATTTTGGCCGATGCATAAACAACTGCTACATCAAAAAAATACAGGGAGGGTTTGGCGCCCACCAAACATGTTTAACCCCGCCACATTCTGGAAGTCAGTGGTTGTTGGTTTCTGTGTATTATATTTGTTTTTCGTTTATCATTTTGTACATAAATTAGGCCGTTAGTTTTCTCGTTTGAATTGTGTTACATTTGTCATTCCGAGGTCTTTTATAGCTGACTATGCGGTATGGGTTTATCTCATTGTTGAAGGCTGTACGGTAACCTATAGCTATTAATTTTTGTGTCATTTGGTCTCTTGTGGCGATTTTTATCGTTGGCAATTATACCACTTCTTCTTATTTTTATTTTTTTACAGAACCATTGTCATAGAAAGGGCGATGTAACGACTAACAGCAATCTAGAAATATCATCCTTAATTTATTTTTAGCAATAAAGGCAACAGTAAAATTGAGAATGGAAATGGGGAATGTGTCAAAGAGACAACAACCCGACCATAGAGCAGACAACAGCCGAAGGCCACCAATGGGTCTTCAATGCAGCGAGAAACTCCCGCACCCGGAGGCGTCCTTCAGCTGGCCCCTAAACAAATATGTATACTAGTTCAGTGATAATGGACGTCATACTAAAGTCCAAATTATACACAAGAAACTAAAATTAAAAAAGATACAAGACTAACAAAGGCCAGAGGCTCCTGACTTGGGACAGGCGCAAAAATGCGGCGGGGTTAAACATATATTTTTTGAGATCTCATCCCTCCCCCTATACCTCTAGCCAATGTAGAAAAAACAAACGTACAACAGTACGCACAGTAAAACTCAGTTTAAAATAAGTCCGAGTCCGATGTCAGAATGAGAAACAAAAGAAAATAAACAAAATGACAATAATACATAGATAACAACAGACTACTAGCAGTTACTGACATGCCAGCTCCAGACCTCAATTAAACTGATTGAAAGATTATGTCTTCATCATATGAATATCAGGCACAATCCCTCCTGTTAGGGGTTTAGTATTATACCATCATAAAATATATGAGAAGAACATAACCCGTGTCATGCCAACAACTTTTTTTTAGAATAAATATGTTTAATTCCGATGCAAAGACCATATAAGTGAATCAATATTAAAGCCAAAATATGCAATCTTTAATGACCTGACAACAGTATCGTAACTATATCCCTTCTTAATAAGTCTGTTTAAAGATTTTGTTAGCTTTTGAGGTGAATACTGATATTTTTGTGCTTTGTAAAGAATATTACCATAAAAGATAGGATGTGAAATACCCGAACGTATAAGATGTCTGCAGGTTGAGTTATATTTACGAATGATGTCCTTATACCGATGATAAAATTTAGTAAATGTTTTGACTAGTTTATGATATCGAAAACCCTGGTGTAATAATTTTTCAGTAATTCATAAATTTCTCTCGCTAAAATCTAATACTTTGTTACATACACGAGCGAATCGTACAAGTTGAGATATATAAACACCATAAGATGGTGACAAGGGAACGTCACCATCTAAAAATGGATAATTAACGATAGGAAATGAAAAATCATCATTTTTATCATAAATTTTTGTATTAAGCTTCCCGGTAATGATATAGATATCAAGATCGAGGAAAGGACAGTGGTCATTGTTAGCATTAGCTTTATTTAAAGTAAGTTCAACAGGATAAATGTCTTTAGTATACATACTGAAGTCGTCATTATTGAGAGCCAATATATCATCCAAATATCTAAAAGTATTGTTAAATGTTTGCATCAGATGTTGTTTCGTTGGGTCTTTTTTTATTTTAGTCATAAATTGTAACTCATAACAATGCAAAAACAAGTCAGCAATAAGTGGTGCACAGTTAGTCCCCATTGGAATTCCGATAACTTGACGATATACGGAATCACCAAAGCGAACAAAAATGTTATCAAGTAAAAATTCAAGGGCAGATATAGTATCAAAGCATGTCCAATTGACATAGCTCTTTTGTTTGTTGCTACTAAAAAATGACCTTAAAGAGTTTGAACATATGTATTCGCATTCCGACTTTTTAAATGCCCATTTGATTAGGTGTGTGAATTTTTCTTAATAAGAATATGAGGCAAAGTGGTATATAGGGTAGAAAATAAAAACTTTAAACAGATTCAAAATCACCAATATATGCATGCAATTTATCAAGTACTTCCAACGAGTTTTTGACACTCCAAAAGTAGTTAATTCCACTATTTTCAAAGGCCTTATTTGAACAATTTATTATCAGGTTTTTGATTGTACCAAGTGTACTAGTAAGTAGAATAAACAATTTAGTAGTGGAACAATGACTTGAAGACGAAATAAATCTATATTTGTAAGGTGATTTGTGTAGCCTCGGCAGCCAGTACATAGTTGGGACTTTCATTGTATTTGGTTCTGCTTGTAAAGAAGTAGCTAATAGTTTATGTTTGTTACAGATATAGTTTTCTGAAAATGAAGTCAGTTGGAATGTTGGTGAATTCGTGATTTCCTTTTGCAGAACCTCAATGTAAAATTTACGTCAAACTATAATGATATTATTAGCAGCTTTATCAGCCGGGACAAAAACAAATTCCTTGGCTAGTTCTTTTAGTTTATGTTTGATACGAGAAATAGGATTTTTATGGTTGTTGTTAAGAGGAAAATGTTCTTTAAAATGTTGTATACGTATATCAACTATATTCATAACTGAATTAAAAAAAGAGTCCAAAGATTTTTTGTCAGCTTTTTCCCGTTTTATCCATTTCAAACAGTAAGCACGTGGATGATATTACGACACTCATTCCAATTAATAATTGACGGGGGACGATATTTAGGTCCTTTACTGAGGAATGATTTTAACTCTCGGTCGCGAACGATGTTAAGGTCTCCTGTTATAACATGGGAAATGGGGCCATAAGTGTATTCGGAATTACTACAATTACATGACGGGGTGTATTTTCACTGATATTAACATCTTTACAGACTTGGCTATAATTAAACACAAATTTTCGGGTATATTTCTTGTAAATATAACAAGTAAGAGGGAGTTCAGTATTATCAAAATATCCAGGAATTTGTTCTTTAACAGAATGGTCGTTAAAAATACCGGCAATATTTACAAAATCAAAACCTTTATTGACATACTTTATTTTAATAAAATGTTTTTTATGATCTTCAGGGCGATCAATTTTGGGAAACAGTTTAGAATAACAATATGCCATTATAATTTGGACGATTTCATACTTAGGACTGCCATATGAAATTGTGTTGCAATCCTCTAAAATTTTATTTTATTTATTTATAGGTAAAGAACAGAGCTTGGTTAATAGATAATGTCTGCCGTTGTTTTTTGAAATAGAAATTAGGTCCGAAATATTTGTATGGTTGGTCCGAAATTTTCTTTGATTGCGATTTTTTCTACGCCCATGAGAACGGTTTTTACGAACAGTTTTAGAAACTATATCCAAAATGTTAACAGAATCGGTTCTTTTTTTTTTTTTTTTTTTTTTTTTTTTTAAATTTTAAACATATTTTATTAATAATCACCTGTTACATCAACCCTTAGTTGCCCAGGGAAGCAACAATGGGGTCCCCGATTTTTACAGGCTCATTTGTCGGGGAAAAAGCAAATGAGAAAAAAAACTCACATTATTAATAATTAACCTCTATCTTTATAAATATCATCTATCTTTGTACAAATGTACATGTAGTATAATCTATCTTTACATTTTTAATATCACACTAAATATAATCGCTTGAATAAAGTATTCATTCTATCGGGGTTTTTTTTTCTCTCAAAAGAGCTACCTGTATTTATTAGGCAGTTTCAATTTTATAGCACTTCACTCCGTTCTTTTGTTATGTTAATTTCTATTACTTTAAATTTCTGGTCGAGTGATCTTTTGCCACGTGCTACTCGTTAAAAAATAACATAAAGGAAGATTAATGTGTTACAGTAGTTCTTTCATAAAAGTTGGATTCAAGATTTTGTTTCCAAAAAATGATTTATTTCAAAGATATGGTAAGTAAATATTTGCTTATAATATGTACCTGTTGATACAACCTGTCCTTGTTACAAGTATATAATATACATAATCATACACAATAGAAAATACATAGTATATAAAGAGAGTTGAGAGTAATGCATGATAATTTATTCAGTATTGAAGAGGTCATTACTCTGGCCTGGCCACGCAAAAATATATATTTATATACAAAAAGTGTCGCACATAGTAGAAAAGGCTTCATTGTTCGTATTTGGTTTAAGGGATTTGAACAAAAATTGCATTTCATGTTTTATCATATTGAAAATCATCGATTTACTTATCCCTTTCTTTTGATATTTTGCGATATTTCTAGTTTTCCAAATAACCCATTTCGTGATAAGAAGCACCATATCTAAAATTTGAAAATATGATGTATCTGCATTAATGACACCCAAAATGATACTCGTTTCCGATTTTTGTAATTTTTCGATACTCAATTTTGAACAAAATTCCCATATTTTCTCAAAAATTTCCATCCAAACGTCTTCCACCAGTTTACAGTAAATAAAAAGATGAAACAGTGATTCTTTTTCATTACAAAAGTGACACTTTCCGTTTGACCGATTCATTTTTTGTATTTTTTCTTCTGTGTAAATTATATTATGAAGTAGCTTCCATTGAAGTTGTTTAGTTTTCCTATTTGCTAAATTCTTATTCAAAGTGACCCAAATATCGCCCCATGGTAGTTCTTTCCCAAAATGTAAATTCCACTTAAACTGACTATTTGGAGTTATGTTATTTTCATAAAAGTATCTACTATCTTTAAGGCACAATTTTTTAGCTTCAACGACAACTCCATTTTTTGAAATTTGACAAGAATTTATTATTTTCATAGGTCTATCGGAATGACTTTGCATGATGGGGTCTGTTTTTAAAAGGTCAATTTGTTGAGGCGTTAACGAAGCTTTAATGCGGCTATATCGTGCTATCCAGTTCCTTTTATCTTTAAGGTTGTTAAAAATTTCAAAAGAAGTTTTAAAGGATTCATTATTTAAGTCCCATATATCTTTTATTTTTTTTATTCCACTGGAGGCAAAATTTGCATAATATAAGGCATGACCCTTGAACTTAAATTTACAATTGCCGAATATATTTTCTTCTAAAAGGTCCTCTTTCGTAACAGATTTTTGGGTTTTCTGTAAGTCAGTCCAGGAAATTAAAAGTTCTTTATAATATTTAGACATTTTTATTTGACTAAGACCTCTAGTGTCCAAACAAGAAGAATCGGTTCTTGATATATTACCAATTCCCATGATACTATCATTAAGACCGAGAGGGTAGACTGTCTGTAATTTTTTAATCCAATTTAATTCAATTATTTTCCGTGATCGTACAAACTTTGAATTAGATTCACTAGGCTGCTTATTTACTACCTCTAAAGGTTAAACTGTTAAATATTTAATAGGATGATTGTGCTTTTTAAGATGTTGATAAATGAAACTTTTGAATTTATTGGGTCTTTCAAAACGATACAGGTGTTCTTGCTTGCGTTTAGATAAATATCGTCCAGTTTCACCTACGTACTGAATACCGCTATTCGAAATTCAAAAATCGATAGAAAAAAAAAAATATCACACCCCTAAATTTCCAGTTCTGGTTTGGATATATTTAAGATTTTGTGGTCTGGATTTACTATGACTGTATCTATCTTTCCTCGATCATTGTATCAACATCGTACATGTAATCATACTATGTGGTTACGTCTGTTTACTCTTAACTCTTGGTTTTTTTCTCTCAAGTTTACAATTTCAGATTTAATCATATATTGAAAAATATATTCAACGTAAATTTCTTATCATATTCATTCTTAACATATACGTATATTTTATGATAAACAATACCTAACAATTTAGTGACTCATATAACCGTTAATATTCTATTTGTGACTCACATGCGAACGATCAGATACGATAAAAACATCAGGCCGCGCAACATTGAATACTTATTACTTTGACTTTAATGTACTCATTTGGCGAAAAGAATTTCTGTTTTTTGTTAACAGCGGAAACAATTGTGCATCCCAACAAAGGTCTTCAGTGGCATAGTAGTAAGTTAAATGGTTGGTAAAACATCTAAGCGCGAGCAAATTCTAAGAACACTCAATTAGTTTGCAGTGGCCTACTGTGCATATAGTTCAAATCCAACATACTTCTGACGAAGTCCATTGTCTTTCAGCATTTCCTCAGTTGCCATGTTGACTGGAAATTAATGAGAAAAACATTTAATAAGTGATTGACGCCAAATGACAAACATATAACTCATATTCAGTCAATTGATAATGTGTCGAAAGTTTTTGTGTAGTATCACAAAACATTGAAAAGGAATACAACATTCCACTTTATTGATCAGATAAAATCAGTGTTATGTAAAGGATTATTTTTTGAAGGAACAAAACACACTGTGCGTCAAATTTCAAGTCCCCATTCCGTCCCTTTTTAATTATTTTGAAGTATTTCAGAATTGTCTATGATCGATTGTTCATATATTTCTTTTCTCATATTCGAAAGAAGTAAAACAGGTTTGTAACGATAAACGCGATTGATAATGCATACGCAATTCAACTACGATTACCTTTCTTAATTTTTGTTTTTAATGTAAAAATCTATGTCCACACCTTTTTCCCCCTATTGCGTGCAATCATTTATCCGTTGCACTCATCAACCTTCAAAATAGATAAAATACTACTAAATGTGAAATAAAAATATTGAACGCTTTATGTTTTTCTTGATTTGTTTGTGTTATTTAGTAAGTGAATCATATGCATACTACCCACATCTTCTTTGTCAAAATTATAAACAGTCTTGATATTTAAAATTAAAAATGAAAAGCCTTATTTTTCTTTTTCATTTTTTGAACGTTGGATATATCCAGAGATGTGGTAATTCCCTGATCGAATTTTAAGGTTGATCATATCATAATAAAGAATAGACATCGTCAAATCATTAGGACAACGTTATTTTCGTCAAAGGAATTATTCATATTCATCAATTACTTATACATGCAAATTAAACTTCAATATTTAAAAACATCTTATAGGTTTCATTACCTCCAGCAAACACCAACAAAAGAGAGACGATAAAACAAACGGAAACCATCATTGTCTGTTTTACTTTTTACTTGAAGCTACAAAATAAGTACATTACATTTCATATGTTTCCTGAAAATGAATATAAGGAGGTAAATATTAATTTTATGGTATAAAAAGGACGAATGCAAATCGCTGCAAATACCAACAGTAACATCGTCATTCAAAATAAATCTTGAAAAATCGCCTTTTATTACAAACAAAGATGCAAAATGATTGTAAACGAGGCTTTTCAACAACATGTTCAAGAATAGAAATTTGCACAATGCCAACCGGTCAGCGGTCAGCTATTAACAAAACCCCTACTATTCAGTGAGCCATAAAAACCCGGATTACTAAATATAATGAATAAACGTCTAACAGAGGTACTCAATGTCTATTGTTTCTGAAACGAGACCGTGTTCAATTCGTCTCGGGATACCGTATCACTTGTTATTTTTTTTCATGTGTTTTGCTTTTCTTTTGACGAAGTTTATTATATTTTTTTAAAAAAATGCCTAAAGTTTTATATAAAAAGATTGCCTGAAACTGTTTAATTTGATTTAACGGAAAAACCGGAATTGCCTGTAAATTCCAATGTGTTTAAAAATTCAAAGAAAAAAAATCAGTCCTTTTCATTCCGTATGTCTTTTATTGACGAACACGAAGCACCGGGGAAACTGTGTCACTTGATACAAGATAACAATAGTATACTGATATTAAAAACTTGTAAATTCATTTTTAATACACAAATCATGTTAAAAATCCGAGAGAATGGCTAACTGTCGAGCGAAGCGAGACCGACTGTGTCCATAGAGAAGAGGTCTTCTGCTATGCATGCGTCACCCATCATGCAAATCTTGATTCATCAAAATTACTATGGGGAATAGCACATAATGGGAAATTAACAGTTCACTATTCTGGCATTCCAAAAAAAAAAAAAAATTCGAAGAAAAAAAAGTATGACACAAACACGTTGTATTGGTCAATCAATTCATGATGGTGACTGTAGAACTTGTGTGGATCGGTTTCAGTTATTTTTCCTCATAAACATAATAGAAGAAATCAGTTAAGAGCATATCCTTGTAAATGAGTCCATGTTGTTTGAAAATACACTCGGTGAACTTTTCGACAGAGTTAGAAAAAATCGTACAATCTTAGGAGGTTATGTTATAGCTGAAAATGAAAAGTTCACAAATACAACACTGGCATTGTCATGTTACCAAGGTATATCATAGTTATAATCATACATCTGTGTTTTTAAAGAAAGTAACAATACCTTGATATAAATAAACTCATCTTAGTTTATAGCACTAACATTTTGTATAAATCAGGCATTATAGTTTCAGTAGTATCATTTTTGTCAAGTTCACTAGGTGATATTTATGGCAACAGCAGCGGTATTCTTATAGAATTGTTTTCGTGTAAAAAATGGTTATTGCTTGAAACTAAGATGATCAAAGATAACCATGTTGAAGTTTGATCAATCGTTATGACAATTGTTTATCATAATGTTACTTCCCACTTATTATTCATATAACAATGAATGCACGTATTGTAGCACATTTTAGGTAAAGCCTCTTAAATGCGAAATCGTTTCTTCTTTTTTCAAAGATAAACTACGTCAATTGCTACCGCAGTGTTTAAGATTACATATATTTGCAATACATTATTAACGTAATATATATTGTACTTACATATTAAGTATATGATACTGTCACGAGCTGATAGTTGATTTAAACAGTAAAACATGTTTTTCAGCTTTTATACGCAAACTTGATACAAATACAATATGTTAAAACATGACTTTTACTGAAATATCTTGTTTTGCGGTTGTACGACCTTTCACGGTTGGTTTATTAACACAAGTGCTACTAATATAGAGCATTGTTTTGACAAATTCGTAATCTGAACAAACATCATATATGTTTTTTGCAACCTAGTTTGTTTAGTGCAAAGCTATATTTACAATGATAGATTATCTGTTTAAAACATGTAAGTATACTATTTATAGCAAAAAGGCCTGGTGAAAGTTGAGGGAACTACAAATTTACGAAAATTGATGCGATAAGACAAACCCTCTAGTAAGAAATTAAAGGTGTAAAACAATCGTCATACAATGATAGTCAGAAATTGTATATGCTCCAAAAGCAGCGATATTTTTAAAATGTTAGTAAAACTCAATTTATGTAATACACCATGCAATTTGAAACATTTATTTTTTAGCATGTTTAAGATGGGCAACTGTAGTTTCCCTATTTGAACAATTAAACGGAAACAAAAACATTTGTTTTCCCAAGTCATGCCAGTAGACAGATTAACTAAAGGAAAGAACATGTTTTGAAGACATACAGATGATTCGAAATTTGAGGATAGAAAGATAAAGGAATCCAACATGAAATTACACATGTTTTTTTGTTCTTGCTTAAATGTGCAATGATGAGTTTAAGAACATGCATTTCTCTTTAAAATATCAAGACGACATTCATACCTAACGTGTTTCAAAAAAGTAAGCTTCGATACACGCGTTCTTGAAACATTTACGATGTGTCGTCTTGTAAACATGGTTGACGTTCATGATCTTCATGCTTAGTTGTATATTAGGTAAGCGGCATGTGTGTATAAGAGAGTAAACAAACAAAAAATCTGCAAAAGATAGCTATCACCAATTGGAGAATAGTAAGAATTCATGATTGAATTGTGTACGCACTACACTTGGTTTGTCATCTGTGGCACAAACAGTTGGATTACCATATTAATCGCGAAGCTGAATTGTAATTGAGGTACCTCTATGTAAACAATGTAGGAATTATTTTAGATAGCATGTACTGGGTAATTATGACATTTTTACTACAGACAAAAACATTAAAACTTGTAACAAGAACATCAAAACTGCTTCCATTTGAACGGTGTCCTATAGATTAATTCCTTGTAAACCTCTGTTATCCCATAGATTGTTAACGTATTCTTTGTTCTTGAAAAGTGGAACTCGTAAGTATTTGGCAGATAGGCGTATTTTAAAACTTGTTTGTATACATTAATTTACATTTATCGAATAATTATTGAGGGAATTGGAATCATGATATTACTTCTCTGAAACGGATGACCAACTTCATATTAATTGATACCCTTTTAGTCACTCAAAAAATCTGTATTTTTGTATTTTCATATTCCATAATCGTACCTTTAGTTCTGTAAAGATTTTCTTCAGCTAAAGTTGAAATTAACTTAAGTTATCACATGTGCATGTAGTATAAACTGTCCTAGCATTACTTTTGTTGTTTATCAGGAATAAATCACTACATGTTCATGTTTTAGCGATAACATGTGTACGCTCATAGACAAAATTGTAAATCTCAAGGGTGATAAAAACTGTTGAGACTAGTACTACGGCTTGATCATGTTGATGGTATGTTATTGTCTGATAAAATTCAAAATGGTAAAGGGGAATGTGTCAAAGAAACAACAACCCAACCAAAGATGAGAAAACAGCCCACGGCAACCAATGGGTTTTCAACACAACGAGAAAATCTCGCACCCGGAGGCCGGATTCAGCTGAAATACGCATGTTATGTCTAGTGACTACTGTAGAGCCGACCGATGATTTTTCAAATGTTTCCTCCTTGGAAGCCGAGTTAGAAAAATACTGTGGTATTGTATCGGATGGCTCTGTTTTGGGAACCACCATGTTTAGTATACTTCTTTTAGTAATGTATATTACACATTTATACATGTTGATTTCTTCCATAAACATTGTTGTGAGCAGTTACGTAAGCAACGTATTTAAACTGACAAAACTTTGTACTAAAAATCAACAAACATCGCCTTGCCAATAAGTACAAATCGTCCTGGAAATTGCAATAAGTCAAGAAAAAAATAAACTCCATTTTATCTGAAATATATTTTCAAAGTTCTACATTGAAACTTTCAATATTTCCTTGAGAACATCTCATCAGCATGTTCATGGTTGACAGTACCTGTTAATAATAGATGGCCGAACTCACTTGCCGTATTTGGTGATGCATTGTCCATAGGAGCAAGTGTAATCAGTACAGCAATAACGATCACTATCTCCGCAAGATCTTGGACTACATATATCGAAACTTCTTTTTTCTCGCCTAAAACATAAAAAAATATCCAAATGTATTTTCGATCATTTCAATCTTTATTCAAACACGATGTTAATCGTTTATATTGTTGAGAATGACGTATGTCTAAAAATTCGTGAATATAAATATCCTGATGTATGATCAGATATTCCGCAATCTACTGAGGCAATGCGCAATACGCAATTTTCTTAACACATGTTAACCACAAGTACTCATAAAATACACATTTCTCCAGACATTTCACATAGCTTATCTTATTACGTTGCAGTAAGAACCGATTGTTTTATGACGTAATTGACTCGATATTGGTCTATATTTGCTGTTTCTTTTAAACATCTTTAATTTTTTCAAGGGCTCTATTCAGCTTCAGCTCTTAGCTGTACGGATGTATGTGTTTCAGTTCTATAAAAGTCGTGACGCTTTACTGAGGAGTATTTATTAAAATTTGTTTTCTAAAACGGAAATCACCGAACTCACCTGCCGTAACGGTAACAGGTTCCATAAGTGCAATAATGGTTATCACAGCATCGACGGTAAGAGGAACAAGTATCACCATCATGTCCACATACTGCTGCTCTTTTAACGAGCCTGAACAAAACACAAAACAAAGTATAATCGATAACAAATATATTATCATATATCGTTAAGTTTTTAAATCGATATATACCTGTACAATCGATAAACGTTTTGCAACATTTGTCACAAAAACGTGCGATAATCGTAAATACAAGTACAAATATCCGTGGTGGCTGTATCATCCGAACAACTGCAAACGTTCTTAACATACATGTTTGAGTTGTAAAACATTGGAGTGAACAATAACATTGAGGTATCGTTTAATCAAGTTACCTACTAGAAGGATTTGTTGGTTAACGTCACTGCATTATAAATTATGGTGGATAGTTGTCTCATTTGCAGTCATACAACATCTCATTACTTCTACATCGATAATTTTATTTTAAGTTCATTACAATATCATCTATATAGCGAATAGATGAATAATCAAAATACACAGCTTACACGCACAATTATGAATAATTGCACTCAAAGAGTTTCATCTAGTGCGATTAAATTAGTCTTTTGTTTTCAACATTTTTGTTTTGTTTTTAGTTTTAACATTCAAACTCATAAGTCGAAAATAAACTGATAACGCCAGGGCTAAAAAAGAAAAAAAAGACCAACAGACAAATAACAGAACACAAAACTCAAGCTAAAAAACTAAAGACTGAGCAACATGAACCCTATAAAAACTTGGGTAAACTCAGGTGCTCCGTAAGGGAATATATCCTACCCCACATGTTGCACCTGTCGATTTCCTCATGTAAGTACAAATTTTATTACGAATGTGACTTACCGAATTAGACTATTTACCGGATTTGTAATAACATAAGCAACACGACGGGTGCCACATGTGGAGCAGGATCTGCTTACCCTTCCGGAGCGCCTGCGATCACCCCCAGTTTTTGGTGGGGTTCGTGTTGCTTAGTCTTTGGTTTTCTATGTTGTGTCATCTGTACTATTTTTTGTCTGTTTGTCTTTTTATTTTTGGCCATGGCGTTGTCAGTTTGTTTTCGATCTATGAGTTTGACAGTCCCTCTGGTATCTTTTGTCCCTCTTTTATTACTTTGTTTATATTTTTGTTGTGTATTTTGTTGATATGTAATGCGTAATGTTAATATAAAATAAGAAGATGCGGTATGATTGACATGGGATAACCCTCTACCAGAGACAAAATAACATCGAAGTTAACATCTATATACCACGGTACGACCTTTAACAATGCGAACAATTCAAACCACATAGTTCTCTATAAAAACCCAAAAAATGACAGACGAAAACAATTCACACGAGAAAACTAATGGCCTGATTTAAGTAAAAAAACGATAAATGAAAAACAAAATGATATACAGCAACAAACGATAATCACTGAATTACATGCTCCTGACTTTGGACAGGCATATGCAGAATGTGGCTTTGTTAACATGTTTGCTGGCGTTAAAGTCTTCTCTTCATCTTGAACATTGTAACGGTACAACATAAGAACAAACTATAAAAATCAATTGAAACTGCCATAACTCATCCGATCGATACAAAACACATACAAACCCGAACTAAAACACAAAATACACAAAGTACAGATCTGAGAGTATTCACAGTTACTGATATAGCTAGTTCAAAACAAAACGCAACTAATGAAAAAATATATGTGTCAAGGAAGAAAATAGCAATCAGAACACATCCACCATCCAATGGATTAAGTGTAAAGACGTCATTAACAATCAGAGAAAATAAGATCTTGCGCAATCCTAAAGTAATATATATATGAAAATTAGAAAATGTAATATGATTGCCAATGAGACAACTGTATATCTACCAAAGTTCAAATGAAGTGTATGTTAGCAATTATATGCAACATTACGGCCTTCAACAATGAGTCTTCATACAATATATTACAAACTATATTTGAATTACATTATAGAATTATCAACTGGATTAAAGGACACATATACTGCATTAGGCTGAACTGAAAATAATTATTGTTATCATACCTTAGTCTTTTGGTATTCTAATCATCTGTATCACTGTTTATACTTTCTCGTATGTTAAACTTCTGACAATTAACCTTTATTTTATTAGGAAAGTTTATCTTTATAATCAAATTAACTCTTTA